AGTAATGCTGGGATGAACATGGGTGGTAGTAGTAGTGGGAGGAACATGGAGGGTGGTAGTAGTGGTGGGAGGAACATGGTGGGTGGTAGTAGTGCTGGGAGGAACATGGCGGGTGGTAGTAGTGGTGGGAGGAACATGGTGGGTGGTAGTAGTGGTGGGAGGAACATGGTGGGTGGTAGTAGTGCTGGGACGAACATAGCTGGTGTGAAATAGTAGTGCTGGGAGGAACATGGCGGGTGGTAGTAATGGTGGAACATGGCAGATTGGTAGTAGTGCTGGAGGAACATGGCCAGTTGGTAGTAGTGGTGGGAGGAACATGGTGGAGTGGTAATAGTGCTGTGAGGTATGGCGGGTGGTAGTAGTGGTGGGAGGAACATGGCGGGTGGTAGTAGTGGTGGGAACATGGCGGGGTGAGTAGTAGTGGTGGGAGGAACATGGCGGGTGGTAGTAGTGGTGGGAGGAACATGGTGGGTGGTAGTAGTGCTGGGACGAACATGGAGGGTGGTAGTAGTGGTGGGAGGGACAAGATTAGATTGGTAGTAGTGCTGGGAGGAACAGCGGGTGGTAGTAGTGCTGGGAGGAACATGGCGGGTGGTAGTGGTGCTGGGAGGAACATGGCCGGGTGGTGGTAGTGGTGGGAGGAACATGGTGGGTGGTAGTAGTGAATTGGGAACATGGTGGGTGGTAGTAGTGCTGGGACGAACATGGAGGAGGGTGGTAGTAGTGGTGGGAGGAGTGTGGCGGGTGGTAGTAGTGCTGGGAGGAACATGGTGGAGTGGTAAGTAGTGCTGGGAGGAACATGGTGGGTGGTAGTAGTGCTGGGAGGAACATGGCGGGTGGTAGTAGTGGTGGGAGGAACATGGTGGGTGTGGTAGTGGTGGGAGGAACATGGTGGGTGGTAGTAGTGCTGGGAGGAACATGGCGGGTGGTAGTAGTGAGGTGGGAGGAACATGGTGGGTGGTAGTAGTGCTGGGAGGAACATGGCGGGTGGTAGTAGTGCTGGAGGAACATGGCTGGTGGTAGTAGTGGTGCAGGGAGGAACATGGCGGAGTGGTAGTAGTGCTGGGACGAACATGGCGGGTGGTAGTAGTGCTGGGAGGAACATGGCGAATTGGTAGTAGTGGTGGGAGGAACATGGCCAGATTGGTAGTAGTGCTGGGGAGAGGAACTATGGCGGGTGGTAGTAGTGGTGGGAGGAACATGGTGGGTGGTAGTAGTGGTGGGAGGAACATGGCGGGTGGTAGTAGTGCTGGGAGGAACATGGCGGGTGGTGAGAAGTAGTGGTGGGAGGAACATGGTGGGTGGTAGTAGTGGTGGAACATGGTGGGTGGTAGTAGTGCTGGGACAGACATGGCGGGTGGTAAGTAGTGCTGGGAGGAACATGGCGGGTGTGGTAGTGGTGGGAGGAACATGGTGGGTGGTAGTGGTGGTGGGAGGAACATGGCGGGTGGTAGTAGTGCTGGGAGGAACATGGAGGGTGGTAAGTAGTGCTGGGAGGAACATGGCGGGTGGTAGTAGTGGTGGGAGGAACATGGTGGGTGGTAGTAGTGTTGGGAGGAACATGGCGGGTGGTACTAGTGGTCGGAGGAACATGGTGGGTGGTAGTATTTGGGAGGAATATGGCGGGTGGTAGTAGTGGTGGGAGGAACATGGCGGGTGGTAGTAGTGCTGGGAGGAACATGGCGGTGGTGTGAGTGCTGGGAGGAACATGGAGGGTGGTAGTAGTGCTGGGAGGGGCATGGCGGGTGTTAGTAGTGCTGGGAGGAACATGGCGGGTGGTAGTAGTGGTGGGAGGAACATGGAGGGTGAGAGGTAGTAGTGCTGGGAGGAACATGGCGGGTGGTAGTAGTGGGAGGAGCATGGCGGGTGGTAGTAGTGGTGGGAGGAACATGGTGGGTGGTAGTAGTGTTGGGAGGAGCATGGCGGGTGGTAGTAGTGGTGGGAGGAACATGGCGCGTGGTAGTAGTGTTGTGAGGAACATGGAGATTAGTATTGAAGTAGTGGTGTGGGAACATGGTGGGTGGTAGTAGTGCTGGGAGGGAGCATGGCGGGTGGTAGTAGTGCTGGGAGGAGCATGGTGGTAGTAGTGGTGGGAGGAACATGGCGGGTGGTAGTAGTGCTGGGAGGGAGCATGGCGGGTGGTAGTAGTGGTGGGAGGAACATGGCGGGTGGTAGTAGTGCTGGGAGGGACATGGTGGGTGGTAAAGTAGTGCTGGGGAGGAACATGGTGGGTGGTAGTAGTGGTGGGAGGAACATGGTGGGTGGTAGTAGTGGTGGGAGGAACATGGCGGGTGGTAGTAGTGGTGGGAGGAACATGGCGGGTGGTAGTAGTGGTGGGAGGAACATGGTGGGTGGTAGTAGTAGTGGTGGGAGGAACATGGTGGGTGGTAGTAGTGGTGGGAGGAACATGGCGGGTGGTGGTAGTGCAGGAGGAGCATGGCGGGTGGTAGTAGTGGTGGGACAGACATGGCGGGTGGTAGTGCTGGGAGCATGGCGGGTGGTAGTAGTGGTGGGAGGAACATGGCGGGTGGTAGTAGTGCTGGGACGAACATGGCGAGATGGTAGTAGTGCTGGGAGGAGCATGGCCAGATTAGTAGTAGTGGTGGGAGGAACATGGCGCGTGGTAGTAGTGTTGGGAGGAACATGGAGGGTGGTAGTAGTGGTGTGAGGAACATGGTGGGTGGTAGTAGTGCTGGGAGGAGGAGCATGGCGGGTGGTAGTAGTGCTGGGAGGAGCATGACGGGTGGTAAGTAGTAGTGCTGGGGAGGAACATGACAGGTGGTAGTAGTAGTGCTGGGAGGAACATGGCAGATTAGTAGTAGTGGTGTGAGGAACATGGCGGGTGGTAGTAGTGGTGGGAGGAACATGACGGGTGGTAGTAGTAGTGCTGGGAGGAACATGACGGGTGGTAGTAGTAGTGCTGGAGGAACATGGCAGATTAAGTAGTAGTGGTGTGAGGAACAATTGGTAGTAGTGCTGGGAGGAACATGACCAGGTGGTAGTAGTAGTGCTGGGAGGAACATGACGGGTGGTAGTAGTAGTGCTTTAAGGAGGAACATGGCGGGTGAGTAGTAGTGGTGAGGAACATGGCGGGTGGTAGTAGTGGTGGGAGGAACATGGCGGGTGGTAGTAGTGCTGGGAGGGAACATGACGGGTGGTAGTAGTAGTGCTGGGAGGAGCATGGCGGGTGGTAGTAGTGGTGTGAGGAACATGGCGGGTGGTAGTAGTGCTGGGAGGAACATGGCGGGTGGTAGTAGTGGTGTGAGGAACATGGCGGGTGGTAGGTAGTGCTGGGAGGAACATGGCGGGTGGTGGAAAGTAGTGCTGGGAGGAGGAACAGGCGGGTGAGTAGTAGTGCTGGGAGGAACATGGCCGAGGTGGTGGTAGTGCTGGGAGGGGCATGGCGGGTTGGTGGTAGTGGTGTGAGGAACATGGCGGGTGGTGGTGGTGCTGGGAGGAACATGGCGGGTGGTAGTAGTGCTGGGAGGGCATGGCGGGGTTAGTAGTGGTGGGAGGAACATAGCCAGATTGGTAGTAGTGCTGGGAGGAGCATGGCGGGGGGTAGTAGTGGTGGGAGGATCATGGCGGGTGGTAGTAGTGCTGGGGAGGAACATGGCGGGGGTAGTAGTGGTGTGAGGAACATGGCGGGTGTGTGGTGCTGGGAGGAGCATGGCCGGGGGTAATGCTGGGAGGAACATGGTGGGTGCTAGCAGCGGGTGGTAGGCATGGCGGCACACGGGGGTCTTGGTATAATGGGAAACACTTGAATCTCATGTCGCCCGCAATTACCCACAATGAAATGGGAGTTAATCTTCTTCCACAATAATTGCTACTCAAACACTTCATTACCTCGGGTTAATCTCTGCTAAATTAATAATGAAACCGTCATAAATTCCTCCTGTAATGATAGACTAAATTATAAGCAAAATAAAAACAAAAGACGAGTTAAATACGATGATGTGTTTTGTTTTGAGTTACGTTACTTTACCTCATTGGCTGACTGTATTGGTGACGTCAGAAGTGTTATGAGAAGAACGTATACCTGTTCATGAGAGGCGCTGACGTCACGAGAAGTTCTGACGTCATGAAGCGCTAACGTCACGAGGCTCTGACGTCAGGAGAGGCTCTGACGTCACCTGTGTCTCCCGAATAGTCCTTTTTGGGCTCTTTCCGTCTCCTTCCCCACTCCACCTTATCTCTCCCCCACTCTACCTCTCCCTCCCTCCTCCTCCCTCCCTCCTACCTCCTCCTGTCTAATTCAATCCAAACTCTTCCTCCCCATCCCCATTTCTCCTCCCCACCTCTTCCTCCCAATCTCTCCACCTCCTCACTTTCCTACTCCTTTACCCCAACACCCCATCTCTCCCTCACCACCCACCTCTTCCCACTCCCTCCCCATCACCTCTTCCTCCTCACCCCCTCACCACCTCACCTAGACTACTCTCCTCACTCTCCTCACTCAGAAAGAAGAGCCACACTTTTTTAGCTCAAAATTTTAATAGTCAAACTTAACGCGTCTCAGTATTTTCAGATCCAAGTTTCATTTTATCGTAAGTTTAAGTTCGCTTAATGAATTCTGTTTTAACTGTTGGGTTGAAATAATAAAATGTTGAGAAAAATAAATGATTGTCGCTTACACATTATTATCAGAAATGTAGACTAAGTGATTTAGGTTAGGTTGGGTTGGGTTGGGTTGGGTTGGGTTGCTGTTGGGTTGGGTTAGGTTGGGTTGGGTTGGATTAACATGATGAATAAAGTAACGCTTGTAGTGGTATATGTCATTCTTTATAACGGACTTCTCTCTCCGTATAATCCGTTAGATGGAGGTTTCATATCTAACTGACCCTCGATATAACGGACTTTCATCTCCACATAGTCCGTTAAATAGGTTCACTGTATAGATAGAATGTAAATGATGTAAATTACTCGCTTGTGATACTTTTTGTTTTCTTCGTGTTACTGATACTTTGTGTTTCATGTGTTACAGGTCAGATGTCTCTATCGACCGCTTCCTAGGCAACACCTTCCTCACCTTCGGTCTGGACGTGATCAAGTTCATGGAGGACGACCAGGAAGTGAGGATTGATCCCATGATCTTCGTGTTCCCGCGCATGACCAAGTGCTCCTTCAGTAAGTTCGGTACTGGGGAGCTCGAGAAATACGACTCCCTCTGTATCCTCCCCATCAACATCGTCAACGAGAAAATCTACATCTTTCTCTGGTTTTGTTTTGTTGGTGTTCCTGACGTTCTTCGTGTTGCTCTACCGCCTCATGATCATCCTCAGTCCGCGGATGAGGGCCTACCTCTTGTGTCTACGCTTCGCCTTATCAACAAGGAAGTCATAAACACCATAGTCAGGAAGAGCAAGATGGGCGACTGGTTCCTCTTCTATATGTTGGGACAGAACGTCGACACGCTTATATTCAAAGAAGTGATGCACGAACTGGCTAAGAGACTTGGCCACGCATCTAAAGACTTTGGAGAGCCATGAGCACCGTGTAAATAGCCACAGGGTGTTTACCACGAACGTCTGTGATCCTAACACACCTAGTTTAAGGTAAGTCAAGCCCTCACGCCGCCTTCCTACTGGGATGGTCCATGTTTGGCCCGTTCTTGCATGTGTGCCGCTCGGCTCTGTCTGTGTGTGTTATGGCCCAAATGTTGTATTGATAAGTCGAGGATTAGATTTGAACTTTTCAGGAGTTATTGGTGTGTGTGTGTGTGTGTGTGTTCGCGCGCGCTTCAAGTTTAATCCAGCAATAACTGTACTCTAATCAGGTTTTGGTTAGGATTATTCAGTTGGAATTCACAGCAACACATAAAGAGACGCTGTGCAAGAATCCCAGCTACAGGAGGCAGGATCACACACACACACACACACACACACACACACACACACACACACTAAGAGACTAATCCGCTTACTGTGTATATACCTGTAGGTAAATATAACTGGGACTTAGAAACAATCCACCATTTTTAGTCCTCAGTTTATAGGAGGAGATATTAATGGGTACAGAACCTTAGGAAATTAATCAGAAGTTCAGGACTCTTGATATCAGATAAGAACATCAGGGTGTTTAATCATAGGTGAAAATAAACTGGTGTGTAACCTTCAACTGATCCCCAAAAATTATAGCTCATGTGGCTGGCTCATGTGGCTGGCTCATGTGGCTGGCTCATGAGGCTGGCTTAAGACTTACTAACATATGTCAGGTCAATTTTCTGGGGTGATTATGTAATTAAATCTCTACCAAAACAAATACTTATAAATGCAATATATCATGAGTGTGGACTGAGGACCCGAGCACAGTTAGATGACCTTCACATTAATAATATGTGAGCTGGTGGCTGTTGATTTATTGATTGATTTTTTATTTTGCCGCTTGCAGCGGCTACTTTATTGTGCACCCCACACTCATCCTGTGAGCGGTAGCGCGAAAGGATTACAGAGTAGGGTTTACAAAGGGTCATAATAATTACCCCCGTTGTCAGGATATTATGGCACCGAATGTTACACAGTATTTCATTTACATTATTTGTTTAGTTCTATACATAAAATCTTATTCACAAATGTGGTGCAGGCGTGTGAGGCAGTATGTCTGGCCTCACACTTTGTTATTCACATTTACGTGAGAGGTATCAAGCACATTGCGTATTTGGTTCTGTACATAAGAATTGATATAGTTACAAAGTGCAAAAGTGGATACAATCTTAATATGTCGGCTATCTTGCCATTAGAGATGAAGTGTTGTGCCATTTCACACAGTGTGCTTGGACCTGTCCCTAAAGGTTCTATCTTCACACAGTCGAGGCTATGTGTGGCCATATGTGGCCACACCTCTTACATTTAGTTTGTTTACATTTGCTTGAGGAACATACTGCCAAAGGTACTTATATCCTAACCAATCTAGCGGTTACAACACCTTGTAATCTAGTGATCTTGTTACTTGCTCCATATACATGTTTCACTTGATACATCTCATCATGGTAACCTATGGATCGACTAGTGCCTGTTTGCACTTGTCCACTTGCGTCAAACTCATCAATAAGTTCTTTCCAATTACAGTTTTAAGGGTTCTTTGACAGACCCAAATTGTATTCAACGGTGTCTTTGTTAGACGCGAGTTTGACGAGGGCATCAACTTGTCATGTTTATGACGCCTATGTGAAGGGATCCACAACAGTTTGACCTTGACACCCCGGTCAACAGACACGCATATTTGTGTCTGGCTTCAGAGACAAGAGCGTGACAACCTGAGTCGAGGGTGCCAAGGGCAAGAACAGAGAATGAGAGTCAGTGATGATGAGACTGTCAGTAACAGTGGTTTCAATGAATTTAATAGCTGTGAGTATGGCAACTAATTCAGTTTGTAGAGTGGATGCCCAGTTGTTAATTCTAACTCCTTTCTCAATTATATTACCGTCTGGTTGAGTCACAACAATAGCACTTCCAGCCCTCCCACAGGCGGTGTTTAGAGATCCATCAGTGTAGATGGTCTGTGTGATATTATCATCAGTCTGTACGTGTGAGGGGTGGTGTGGTGTGAGGGTGGTGTGGTGGGAGAAGGAAGGTGAGTTGGGAGAGGGAGTGTGAGGGGTGTGGTGTGAGGTGGGTGAGGGTGAGAGAGACTGAGAGGTGAGGTATATCACTCAGTTGTCGTCAGGGCGTGTGTGAGTGAGACACGGACGCCCCATGGGCAAGGTCTGATATAAAAGTCACACTCTGGAGCTGGCTGTCCTGTTGTCACATAACTCACCCTGCTGAGCTTCCAGGGCATACGGGACTACAGACGTGTGTGTGTGTGTGTGTGTGTGTGTGTGTGTGTGTGTGTGTGTGTGTGTGTGTGTGTGTGTGTGTGTGTGTGTGTGTGTGTGTGTGTGTGTGTGTGTGTGTGTGTGTGTGTGTGTGTGTGTGTGTGTGTGTGTGTGTTCTAACTATTTGTCGCATTATATGGTACCCAATTATCGCCTCTGGATAAGTACTTCACTATGTCATCATTATTCAAGCAGTAGTGACAATCGTAAAAGGTATCCTCCCCCTTATTTTTTTTTTTACTGTAGTTGTAAAGCTATTCGTTAGAAGCAATAATTCACGGCACAACGGCCACGGAGACGTTTTTTATAGGCGGGAAGACTGGACAGCGTTCATAAAAGCTACATATGAGAGGCAGCGTGTGGTGGTAGGAGGACCCGGCAAGCGTCCAGGACCCCAAGACTCTTCCTCTGTGTGTGTGTGCCAACTGGTGACCGACTACCCACGTCACCGAGGCATTTCTTGGTCACTATTCCTCGACGTCGTTTTTATTTTTGCTTTTTATCACCAGAATACCTGAGTCATATCGCAGCAGATTACACTATACACGGGATACGGTCTAGAATGAATGTTCTCCTGCAGACACCGACAGTCAAACATTCAGAGGCTAAATACGTCCATATGGGTTACGGACAGTGATTTAAAGAGGTAGTTAATTTGGCCTACGACTTCCACTGTGGAATAAACGTGAAACAAAAGTTATTTAAAGAGTCCAAACCATAATACGTAGTGATCAAGTTTACTGGCTGGTACACACGACGACTTTGTATGTGTGTGTACTGAAAGGATGGTTATGTTATCGTGCGATTTCAATGTCAAATTCCTTCACTACTACCGAGTTCTTTCAGTAATACCGAGTTCTTTAGTAGTACCAGGTTCTTTCACTACTACCGAGCTCTTTCAGTAATACCGAGTTCTTTCAGTAGTACCAGGTTCTTTCACTACTACCGAGCTCTTTCAGTAATACCGAGTTCTTTCAGTAGTACCAGGTTCTTTCAGTTTGTTCCACCAGATTGAGTGACTTTTCCACGTATCCTCAACCTTGACCCGACACAGGCAATAGTTAATCTTATTTACGTCAGTGTTGAGTAATGTATTCTATCTGATAATGATGTTTGACTCTGGCTGTAGATTGGAGGATTTTGGCATCTGGCGCTGGATCAATCACACAGATTATGTTCGGTGATTGAGAGTCGAAGCACGTCCCAGTGGTGTTACGTTACTCCCCCCCAGTGGTGTTACGTCACGGCCCCCAGTGGTGTTACGTCACGGCCCCCAGTGGTATCACGTCACGGCCCACACCATAAAATGCCCACTCCCCACCTGCGATAATATTTTCTTCACCTAAACACAGTTACTAAAAGTACTGATCAATATGTAAACAAGAATACAATATTAATCTTTTTTTTCTCATTTATCTGTACAGTTATTATATTATACTTTGTCTACGTGATTGAATCCAAGTCCTCAAGTAGTAAAGTCAAAAAAGTGTTTCCCTCAGATGTGAAGAGTATTAGTATGGGACGTAGAAAATGGTGAAACAGACACAAGAATGATTTTATGTTTTTAATACTTCTGTTTCTACGTTTCGTAATTCTTGTTGTTGTCCTCTCTCTCTCTCTCTCTCCTCTCTCTCTCTCTCTCTCTCTCTCTCTCTCTCTCTCTCTCTCTCTCTCTCTCATAGCGTACAACAGTTTAGTATTGCAAATGCAGTTACCATCGCACCAGCTCCGCCTTCTCCTCCCCTTTCCTTGACATGCTCCACCGCGCACATACACCCTTACACACACACACACACACACACACACACACACACACACTTAGTATTCATGAAGTGGGTCTGCAGAACTTTCATTTAAAAGTCAAACTTCCTACTTTATATAAATAGAAGTCGTCGAGTAGGAATCACGTGTGTGTGTGTGTGTGTTTAGTCGGCGCTTTTATGCTGGGTGTTGGTGTGAGTAGAGGACAGGTGAGGGGCCAGGCCAGGTAGACACGGTGATTAATTGTTTCCTCACCAGGTATACCCGTTCCTCGCCTCCTCTCTCTTCATCGCCTCCTCTCCCTCCAGCGCCTTCTCTCCTTATCTCGCTTCCTCTCCCTTTTCGTCTTCTCTCCTTTCCCTCACCCTCCTTGTCTCACCCCTCCTGCTGCCCCCCCCACCCCTGTCGTCCCGCCTCTCCTCTTCTCTAGTACCTTACCCTCTCGCCCCCTCATCTGCCTCCCCTCCTTTCCTTCCTCCCTGTTGCCCCCCCTTTCCCCAAGTCACACTCAGGCCGGACACACTCATAATCAGGCCAGATACACTCACACCCAGGCCAGATACACTCACACCCAGGCCACATACACTCACACCCAGGTCACATACACTCACACTCATGTCAGTCACCCACACTCATGTCAGTTACTCACACTCATGTCAGACACTCACACTCAGGCCAGACACACTTTGATTTACACACCTAACCGAACTTATCAAATGTATCCCCGTATTTACCTTTGAGCCACATCTATATATGTAAACCTGTAATATATTCAGTGACCTAACTTAACCTAACCTAACCATCTATGTTGTCAATAGTCACCTGAGGCCTCAACACGACCTATGTGACAGCACAACGCCGACACCTACCCATGGCCAGCCACCTACACCTATCCACGGCCACCTTGCTTATATTAATATGGCCCGTCTTTCACCTCGCTTCTATCATATCTCTCCTCCCTCTTTCACTCTTCTTCCT